TAGGCTCAACCTCATCTAGTTGTTCAATCCAATCCTTCAATTCTATCCACTAAACCACATCAATATCCAATGGCGTAGAATTGGTTTTTTCAAAAGGTTTAGACTCCTTTGTTATCAAGTCGGTGAAAGGATTACGTTGAAACTTAGAGGAGAATTTTTCTCTCTTCGTTATTGCTTAGCAGGTTAAATCCTCATGAGCGAGAATATTTATCACAGGTGGCGATTCCTCAACTACAACTTCCTCTCAGTCCACATTTTGAAATGGGTTTGGTCGTGCTAATTCACAAAATGTCTCAGCGGAAAACTACACACTCAACCAAGCCTAAAGTTATAACACAATTTGTACAATGACTCAAAAAGTCAAACACTGTGTATGTACACGGAAAACATAAATTTATGGCACAATCTCTGTACACAGACAACATAAATCATAAGATATGTCTATAAACACACATTATAAAGTGGCAACATAATGTGTGTACACTGACACCATATGTTTGAATACAATTGCACACAGACAAGTCTTAAGGCATTTAGTTCACATGTAAAGAGAAGTAAAATGGTAACAAAATAATTTAAAGTAAGTGCACCTCTTTTGTGCACAACAACAGTTAATGTGGGGTATGAGTTTTTCAAGGAAACCAAGTTCTTCATTTGCATCAACTTAAAATTTGAAGTAAACATTATAAAACAAAATGTTTGATTTAACACATAATATGACATATTCACTTTGTCACGACACTTACTTCATGCATCATATTTGTGAAATATGAAGAACATAGACACATGCAAAAAGCCATTTTTAGCAACCCGTTTTGGAAATTCTTGTCCAAGGTTGGCAGCACCTCATATGCCCAAACCTACAAACAATAATGTGTGTCATACAGATAAATTATTCATACATCCAGTGAAATTGATAAGTAAACATATATACAGAAAATTACATCAATACTTGTAAAGCATGTGGACAACCAAACAAGGTGATCTTTGCATTCCGGTAGAATGAATTTCTCTCCTTGCTTTCTTGAAACTTTTGGGGCTGTCCTTGCATGGTGTTTTTCAGACTCTTCACCGTCACCTTGTACAACTTTAACGACCATGGGAAAGACTGAAAGAGCTCAAACACATCCACCCATCGCAAGTAATCGGGATGGATCCTTGTTAGCAACCCTCACAAGCAAACAATGGACCATAAACAGATAGAGATGCGAACTTCGCACCGTCCATGGGATCTTCATTTTCGGTAGGTTTGACTTCTATCACTATTTCCTTCAACTTCCTATAGGTAACATCATCGCAACCCCCAAAATACTTGTCCACCACGCCCTTGCGTTCTTCATCACTATCGAATGTTGGCCACTACACGAGATCATGGAGACCATTAATATTCTGAAAGTCCATGTATGTGAACTTCAACAACTTACCATCAAGAACGAACCACATTTCATCTTCTGGTTGGTCACGAACAAGGCGTAACAACAGCAAATGGATCAGTTGGGCGAAGAATTGCAAGTGTGGGCCATCAAGCAAATGGTCGTAAGGCGTTTTCCGTAAGATGGTCATCTGAATCAACGTCATACATTCGCTTACCAGTTCCAATACTCTGCTTTCAAAGATGAATTGGAACTGGTAAGCGAATGTTTGACGTTGAAACAAATGACGATCTTACGGAAAACGCCTTGGGACCATTTGCTTGATGCCTCTCACTTGCAAATCTTTGCCCGCCTGATCATTTTCGGTTGTTACGCCTTGTTCGTGACCAACCAGAAGATGAAATGTGATTCGCTATTGATGGTAAGTTGTTGACATTAACATACACCAACTTTCAAAAGATTACTCGTCATCGTGATCCCATGCAGTGGCCAACAATCGATAGTGATGAAGAATGCAAGGGCATGGTGGACAAGAACTTTGAAGGCTGCGGTGATGTTACCTATAGGAAGCTGAAGGAAAAAGTTATAGAAGTCAAACCTACCAAAAATAAAGATCTCATGGATGATGTGAAGTTGGCATATCTATTTATGGTCCATTGTTGTTTGCTCGTGAGGGATTTGCCAACAAGGATCCTTCCTAATTACTTACGATGCGTGAATGATTTTGGGATCTTTCAGTCTTGCCAATGGTCGTACAAGGTGATAGTGAAGAGCATGAAAAACACCATGCAAGGGCAGTCCCAAAAATTTCAAGAAAGCAAGGAGAGAAATCCACTCTACCGGAATGTGAAGTTCATCTTGTTTGGTTTCCCACATGCTTTACAGGTATTGATGTTATTGTCTGTATATATGTTTAGTTATCAGTTTCACTGTCTGTTGTATGAACAATTTGTATCTATGACACAAATAACTATCTGTATGTTTGGGCATATAAGGTATTGTATACCCTTGGACAAGAACTTACCAATCAGGAGGCTAAAAAAACATTCCCTTACTAAAATGGACTTCATATGGCTTTTTTCGATGCATCCAAGATTCAAAAGTTGGTCTTTGAAGACAATGTTGAGGTAATGGTATGAGTTGTTGTTTGTTATGTAATTGTCTGTGGTGCAGACATTTAATTTATTACTATGTTTATGTATATCCATCTAGGATGAGGTAACTGATGATCAAAACCGTGAGGAGGTTGGACATGAAGATGTGACTACGTTACGTGAGCGTGTTGCGGCACCGGAAAGGAGGCTCAAGGATACTGAAGTGTGCTTGGCTGAAATGAAAGAGTTGGTACACAAGTTTGTTAAAAATGGAGGTGGCCAACAAGCCAGTCTGCAAACTGAAATAGTAACTGTTTGTACTTGTCTTTCTTGTTGTATGTACGCAAAACGAAAGTTTGTAAACCATCCTTTTATTTTAACTTGTCTGGACATAAACAAATTGTAATGTGGATTTTTTCAAATATATTGTAGGCTGTTGAGGAGGTCATAGATGAGGGGAATGCATGCCAGGACAATGGTGAACAAGATATGGAAGTCGATGGTAATGATGAAGCACGTGAACATGTTGATAATGAAGAGGTCGAAGCTCCATAAATCTCAGACTAGAGTAATGTAATTTTGTAACCCGGCAGTCCATTTTGTATGGGCACAAACAATATTTTGAGTGATGTTTAAACATTATTTTGATATTTTCTTTTTTGAGTGATGTTACAAACAGATTTGTTTAAGTCCATGGCTTCTCATCACAAATGTGATGCATGAAGTAAGAGTCATGACAAAGTGAATATGTTGTATTATGTTTTAAATCAAACATTTTGTTTTACAATGTTTACTTTAAGTCTTAAGTTGATGTTGACGAATGAAGAACTTGGTTTCTTTGAAGAATGTCGTATTGCGCGAGAACTATTGTTTTGCACAAAAAAGGTGCACTAACTTTCATTTATTTTGTTGCCATTTTACTTCTCTTTACATGTGAATTAACAGCCTCAAGGCTATTGTGTGTGCGCAATTGTATTCGAACATATGGTGTTGGTGTACACACATTATGTCGTCATTTTATAATGTCTGTCTACAGACATATCTACGTCCAAAAGGTTGAATCCCCAACCCCAAGGGCCCCCCCCCCCCACCCCGACCCGACAGGATGGTGGGGGAGTAAATCACGGTGACTCAGTCGGCAAAGCGGCAGTAGGCCTTTACCCGTGCGCACCAGAGGGCCAGCCTTATTTCAGGTTCTGAAAACTCCCTTTTGGCCGCTGCGGGATTCGAACCTTGGTCTACGTCCAATTTTTCCCACCGCTCGACCAACTGAGCTACTCGTGCGGGTGGTAAAACTGAGCTACCCGTGCGGGATTCGAACCTTGGTCTACGTCCAATTTTTCCACCCGCTCGACCAATTTTATATGTCTGTAGATATGTCTACAGACATATCATATGACTTATGTTGTCTGTGTACAGACATTGTGTCATAACTTTGTGTTGTTTGTGTAATGACATAGTGTTCAAATTTTTGAGTCGCTATACAGAATGTGTCGTAACTCTAGGCTTGTGTGAGTGTGTAGTTTCCCAATGAGACATTTTGTGAACTAGCACGGCCAAACTCATTTCAGAATATGAACTGGGAGGAAGTTGTAGTTGAGGAACCGCAACCTTTGATAGATATTCCTGCTCATGAGGATTTAACCCGCCAAGCAATTAGTCAATTACGAAGAGAAAAAAATTCCCCTCTAAGTATCAGTGTAGCCACTTCACCGACCCGATAACAAAGTGGCCTAAACCTTTTGAAAAGATCAATCCTACTCCATTTGATATTGATGTGGTTGAGTGGACAAAATTGAAGGATTGAATTGAACAACCAGATGAGACTAAGCCTACACATGTACACCTTCATGTTCCCGGTTTACCTGATGTGGATAATGCAGTTTTTTCGAGACCTCCTTGTGTTTGACAAATGGTTGTTGAGTTATGTAAGTATATATCTACAACCCTATCATCCACATAGTTGTTAGTAGACTTATGTGGCCTGTGTAAAACTTCTAATAATTTTTTGTAGCACGTCGATGTTATGATATACTTGCTCACTAAGAATAGCATAGGAGGGAATGTACATTAATGAGTCTATATTTTCTGGTATATGAACAAAAGTTTATGCATTTATACAAGTCACTGTCATTCCTTTTTAAGTGCAAGTCCATATTTGTAGGAAACTCTTGAGCAAAAAGATTGAAAATGAGGTGGACTGGGTTGGAGACCGGCTTCTTAAAAAAGAATTGGACTTCCTTCGATAGGGTATGTCTATGTGTAAATCCATATTGACATACTAAATGTTTGTACACGAACATTTCACATTTATTGTTATAATTGTCATAGGTTTTCACACCCCGCATGGAAAAGTAAGAAGGGAAGCGGCTTGGGGCTGGCGGGTTTTTTTTTGGAGAGAAGTATGCGCACGTGGAGCTGATTTCAAATAAAAGGGGAGGGGTTTTATGCGGTGTACACGGGCATGTAAAACACCATGTACACGGCGCATTTTTGATAAATATGTTGCCTAAGTTACAAGGCCAAAAAGAAATCGCAGCAAGTGTTTTCATGACAGGCTGACACAACCATTTTCATTTTCATAGAGGCGCACAGTGAAAGTAAGCAGTGATGATAGTGATGCCAAGATTCTATATAAGAGAATTCATATATATTCCATAAAAATAACCTACACAAAGCATCCATGTCAAAGTAAAACCACAAATACATAGATCACAAGACACTCCCTCCGCCATGTCTTGATCAAACCTTTCAAATCCTCAGAAATTTATCTCTCTCCTCTCAGCAAAAAACTTACCGCTAGCAGAGAGGTGTGGATGGTGCAATGCTAACCATACTGCAGTATCAGCCGCTTCTTCCGGAGATATATTCCCCGCCCAACCGGTCATTCCGGTCTTCACCCAACCCGGACAATAGCAATTCACAAATATCTTTTTCTCAGCACAACCTTCAACTTCTCGGGCCATTACCCTACTAAAAGCATTAACTCCAAGTTTAGACAAAGAGTAGTCGGTATAATTCTGAGGCCATCCGCCAGCTTTCCAAGTTCCGTCTTTTACTTGTTCTAAAAATGTTTTCAAAGTCTGATCGATCAATTCCTCTGATAGCGTTTCTATGTCCTCCAGTTTATGTCTCAAGTTAGCATTTCCAATTCGCTGAAATAAGAGGGGGGGGGGGGGGGGGATAAACATTCTTAAAGCTTCTACTAGGATGGCTGAAAAACAGGTTTTGAGGAATTTTCACAACTCTTGGAAGAAACATTATATGAATGGAAGAAAATTCAACTGCTCCCATTGACTATATATTACTCCATATTACTCATTTTTGTGCTTGATAGGTTTCGGGATTGCGTTCGAGTCACTCAACTAGAAAATGTGATGCACTACAGGTTAATTTGTTAGGTAGTTCAATTCAATGTATAATTACCATTATTTTCTGTCTAATTCGGATGTGGGATCTTACAGACCACAACTTCTTTCTGACTGAATTAGGTCTTTGACAATGAGGTTTGGACATTAGTTTGTCATCTTACATATCTAGTCCTAAATGTGAAGGATACTTTCCTGCACTTGTTCAATTTAGAACTCACTTTTGTCTTCAGCTATATTATCTGGATCCAATAATCATAGTCGTAGGAAAACAGCCTTCTTATAAGCTAAAAACATTGACAAGGGATTGATATAAGGCTAAATGGCATAAGCAAGGACCAAATTAAATCCAAAAGAATGTTGGGGGCCAAATTGAGGAAGAGTGTATTAAAAAGAAGAAGAAAATTTGGCTTACATTTCGTCTTCCGTTTAGTCTTCCTAACCGTGAGCTCACGTTAACAATCCGACTGCCGCTAGAAGCTGAATGCCTGAGCAATGGAGTTAAGGCTTTCATCATATTTTTGGTTCCATAATAGTTGGTCTTGATAACTGTTTCAGCGTGTTCCACGGAGTTTTCTGAGCCAACATTAAAATTGACTCCAGCATTGTTTACCTACATGTTTTCTAGGCATTGGTGAAATACTTGGCCAAAGGATCAAAATAATACAGTAAAAAACATTAGAAAGGAACACTAATTGTTGAAGAGTATGTTCGTGTCAGCTAAATATGAAATAATAAACTATCACACATTACCTTCAACTACTCCTCATATGAGGTTGACTACCTCACGGAATGAGAGTCAATCTGACCGACAGCCACGATACAGGCCGCACTATAAAAAAATTAAAAATGCAGTCTATACAGGGAGTCAAACTGTGAGGGTAAGTGCCCTTATGAAAAATTGCACGGTCCACACAATGCATTGGACCATAAAGGTTTGTGCCCGCCTTTACTGTTCAGATGACGTTTTTTAATTATTAGGGGCTGTTGAATAGTTTATCTTACATCAACTAAATATAACATGGTAAACAAACATATTAAATATTGGACTACTATCACACCATGAAAACAAGCCTTAATATTATTATTTGTAAACATAGAGTCTAGAAAATCGACCATACCAGTATATCTAAACCGCCATAATGATGTTTCAACCAAGAAGAAAATGACTCTATTGATGAAGGATCCACAATATCTAGTTGGCGGAATGCCACTTTCAAGCCCACTTCTTGCAAGGCTTTTGCTGCTTCTGCACCGAATGTTGTGTCCCTCGAAGTAAGAATGACTGTCAACCCATGTGTACCTAGCTGACGGGCGATCTCAAATCCAATTCCTCTATTTCCACCTGTCACAACTGCAATTGTGTCTGGCTTCCACCATCTGAACAAAAATGGTAAATGTGTTAATAATCAGCAGATACATAAAGTATGATAGGAGAGAGTAAATCAAATAAGAGAAAGTCACACCATATCAAGAATGCCCTGATGATATGTAGATAAATAGAGAGATAGTGTCATCATGTTTATCTGCCCAAGGAACAAAAGGAAGCGAAAATATGTAAAAGTTGTTGCATAATAATAGATCGCAACCTAAAACTTGAAAAATAGTATCTTTAACAATCTAAATAGTTAAATCACTATTTGGTGGCAACTCGGCAAAGGCCTGAGAAACTAGTAGGACAGATTACTTGGTGATTACTCAGACCTGTATTAATTAAACTTAAGAACATAACAACAACAACAACGACAACAACATCCAAGCCTTAGTCCCAAAAGATATTGGGGTCGGCTAACATGAATCGATACATGATATCACAACCAAAAGGAAAAGAAAGAAAATAAGGATAAAAAGATAAGCTATTATAAAAAGATAATATAAAAAGAGATGAATATACATAAAAATGATAAAATAAAAAGGCTACAAATAATGCTTATATATATATAAGGATAAAAAAACAAGGAAAAAAGATGAAGGAAAAAGATTATACAAGATCACTCCTTCACACGAATACCCGCCCTCCACTTAGTTCTCTCCAAAGTTATACCCTCATCCAACCCCAAAAGAAGCATATCACTTTGAACTCCCCTAACCCACGTCTGTTTGGGTCTTCCTCTCCCTCTCTTCCCTGCCTCTTCTCCACACATCTCAACTCGTCTGACAGGTGCATCACTCGGTCTTTTACGCACATACCAAACCACCGTAGGCGCGACTCCCGCATCTTGTCTTCAATAGGTGTTACTCCCACCCTTTGTCTGATTGTCTCATTCCTCACGCGGTCCTTCCTAGTATGCCCACACATCCAACGCAGCATGCGCATCTCTGCCACACTCATCTTTTGAATGTGACATTGTTTCACCGCCCAACACTCTACGCCATACAGTAATGCAGGCCTAATTGTTGTCCTATAAAATTTACCCTTCAGTCTAGTCGGCATACCTCGGTCGCATAGAAATCCTGACGCACTCTTCCACTTCATCCACCATGTTCTGATTCTATGGGATACATCTCCATCTAACTCACCGTCCTTCTGAATTATGGAGCCCAAGTAACGGAACATATCGCTGACTGGTATTTCCTTACCATCCAGAGTAATTCCGCTATTACCACTGCTTCTACCTCCACCAAACTTGCACTCCATGTACTCTGTCTTGCTCCGACTTAGTTTGAAACCCTTATTCTCCAATGTTTGTCGCCATACTTCCAACTTTGTTTTAAGACCTGATTGTGTCTCATACTCTCATCAATAAATACAATATCGTCGGCAAACATCATGCACCACGGTATATCGTCTTGAATTGACTTCGTAAGTTCATCCATGACTATGACAAATAAGAAAGGGCTCAAGGCCGATCCTTGGTGCACTCCGATAGTAATAGGGAACTCTTCAGTCCTCCCTACACTAGTACGGACACTTGTAGTACAATCCTCATACATATCCATGATGATGCTGATATACTTGTGTGATATGCCTTTCCTAGTTAAGGCCCACCAAAGAACTTCTCGAGGTACCCTATCATATGCCTTTTCTAAGTCAATGAACACCAAATGCAGATCCTTATGAGCGTCTTTATACTTCTCCATAAGTTGCCGAACAAGGTGAATGGCCACAGTTGTTGAGCGACCAGGCATAAAACCGAATTGATTCTCTGAAATCTTCACAGTTCTTCGAAGTCTTTGCTCAATCACTGTTAGGCACTAGTAATTCAACTAGCAAAAGCAGTAAACAAGCTCACAGATCTAAGCAGAAATGTAGATAAACTGAAGTTTATTGATATGGGGGATAATCCGTAGGTAACAACAAGGCAACCGGGACAGGGACAGGGACTTCTTAGGCAACAAGGCAACACCTGATTCTAAAATAATCGTCTACCCTATTACGCTACTCCCCTTTCCTATTTATAGCATCAAGTCCACGCAGGGACTAAAATAGCTAAAGTAATTACTAAACTGACCCCCAGCCCCTTTATTTCTCCTTTCAAATACCCTATTAAAAATACTAAATAGGCAGATTCCTAACATTACTCCCCCCCTAAATAACCACCTTGCCCTCAAGGTGGGTAATAAGACACAACCTTGATCTTGTACTTCCTCTTCATCCTGGAACCTCTCCCTTCCCAGTACCTCTTGGTTTTCTGCTCTAGGAGCTTCATTTCTTTCACTTTCATCATCACATTTTCCACAGCCAACAGGGGCATAAACTGGGTATAAAAATTCCCTAGAATTACACTTGCAGCCTCCTCCTTGTAACCAACCTCTTCATGTAAGGGTTCTAAGGCAGTCCTGCTATGAGGCGTTGCAGCTCTAAATGGATCCAGGAACAAACCAGTTTGAACCCTTATAAGAACTCCCATACCAACTTCAACTGTGTAATCAATTTTCCTCTTCCCCTCAATTCCTTCCAAATTGGAATCCTTCAGCTGAATTCCCTCTCCATCCCATTTTCTGCCTTCCCAGTAGATAAGATAGCCCACACCACTCCTGTACAGTTTGTGACGTGGTCTTCAGAGATGCCTCCATAGAGTTTGACTTAGAATCCCCTTGAACTGTCTGACTTATCCCCAGATGATGCCACTTTATGCTCTGCTTCTGAAAGTTAATCTCCACATCCCCCAATCCAGTCAACCAATCCATGCCAAGAACCAAGTCAGCTCCCTCCAACTCCAACATGTAGAAATCTTGTTGAATGACAGCTCCCTGCAAGCTCAAAATGAGTTTTTCACACCTGCCCTTGTTGAAGACCCTATCACCATTCCCAAGCTGCACTTGGTAGCCAGCAATGGTCTGATAAGGGAGGGTTAACTGCTCTACCACTTTCTGGGATATGAAGTTGTGTGAGGCCCCACTATCAATTAGAACATCCACTAGCTTCTCTCCCTTAGCTCATTTCAGAATCCCCTGCACCCTAAAAGCCCTCGTAGAGGGTTTTCCGTCCTGGTTCATGAAGGACAATTGCATGGACTTAAATTCCATGGTGATCTTTTCTTCTTCAGGGATTACCCCTTCTGGGTTAAGTGGTTAACTATTTCCTCTTCTCCCTCGGAGTCCTCCACTAAAATCAGTTTGTAATTCTTCATTTTGCAAGAGTGCTCTCTTTCCCATCTTTCACCACATTTGAAGCAAAGTCCCTTCCGGCTTCTATCTTGGTATTCTTCTTGTGTCAGCTGTGGCCCTACTCTTCTTATGTCTGGGGAATTTATTTCAGTTTCCTTCTTCCCATCGGGAGTAAACCAAGGTTGAGTGCCCTGCTGTCCTGAATTATTTCTACCACCAATCTGGGATCCTGAACTTCCATCTTTTGGCTTGTATCCCTCACCCCAAACAGGTTGTCTATAGTTCATGGATCCCTTGTCCCTTCCTTCTAGTTTCTATGTAGTTTTACCCTTAGTGTAAATAACATCATTTTTCTTCTCAATCGCCTGGGCCCTGTCCATGGTAGCAGCTAGAGATTTGCCATTGAAGAGTTTCAGTTCAGCCTTGATTTCATCCTTGAGGCCATTGATAAAAATGCCTCTCAGCATACCCCTGTCTATGTTCTTCTGTGTAGCTATTACCTTCTCAAACTCATCCCGATAGTCCTCCACAGTTCCAGTCTGTTTCAGGCTCAACATGGCTCCATAGGGATTCTGCAATAAGTCGGGTTGGAACCTACGGATAACCGCATCCTTCAGATTTTCCTCGGCCTGTTGTTCCCACCACTGAAACCAATTCAAGGCCCTATCATCCATAGCCACCATTGAAACCTCAACCTTGTCTTCCTCCTCTGTTTTATTCAATCTAAAATAACGCTCCATTCTTACTAACAATGGCAAATCCACCTTCCGACCAGTATGCACTCTGCGAGTAGGGATGGGAGAGTGTACAGAATTACCTCTCGAGTGCTCTGGGCTGTGTAGTGATCGCGATCAGTGGTGATGTGGTGATCGTGATCGACGGTGATGAGGGGAACGGTGATGCTGTGATCGCGATCTCCCTCTGGACGGGTCCCTCCTGTTCTGATAAGCTGCCATGGATGTCGCGATGATGTTCTGGATTTGCTCATTCATCGCAACAGTGAGATTCGCGATGGTAGCTCTCATCTCCCGCTCAAAGGCTTCCATGCGTTGTTCCATTTTGGATCTCGTTTTTACCATCCACTTCAGAAAAAACTAGGTTGCAGTCGCTACCTCACAACGTTGCTGAAACGAGAAACGCTACTGCCGTCGCACTTCACTTGTGATCCCCAGGAGCGATTGCTGTGATACCATTGTTAGGCACTGGTAATTCAACCAGCAAAAGCAATAAACAAGCTCACACATCTAAGCAGAAATGTAGATAAACTGAAGTTTATTGATATGGGGGATAATCCGTAGGTAACAACAAGGCAACCGGGACAGGGACAGAGATTTCTTAGGCAACAAGGCAACACCTAATTCTAAAATAATCGTCTACCCTATTACGCTACTCCCCTTTCCTATTTATAGCATCAAGTCCACGCAGGGACTAAAATAGCTAAAGTAATTACTAAACTGACCCCAGCCCCTTTATTTCTCCTTTCAAATACCCTATTAAAAATACTAAATAGGCAGATTCCTAACAATCACTCACTCCCAAAGTTTCATGGTGTGACTCATAAGCTTAATCCCTCGATAGTTGACACATTCTTGTACATCACCTTTATTCTTAAATAAGGGGATAAGAGTACTCTTCCTCCAACTCGTTGGCATCTTGTTGTTTCTCCAAATCATGTTGAAGAAACTTGTTAACCACTCGACACCTTTCTCTCCCAAACTTCTCCAAGCCTCGATCGGTATGCCATCTGGCCCCATCGCTTTCTTCCGTCCCATCTTCCTCAGAGCTTCTTTAACTTTTGTTGTTTGGATCCTTCTCACAAAATCACAATTTACCATACAATCTGGTATGGACAAATCACCGATATCTTGCGTTTTGTTCCCGTTGAATAGTGTATCAAAGTATGACCTCCACCTCTCTTTTATCTCTCCGTCGTCCATTAATATCCTCTTATCGACATCCTTCACACACTTAACTTTTGCAATATCTTGAGTCCTGCGATCACGAAGACGAGCAAGTCTATAAATATCTAGTTCTCTCCTTCCTTAGAGTCCAAGTTTTCATACAACTCCTTGTTCACTTTCCCTCGTGCTTCCCTTACGGCTTTCATTGCTTGTCTTTTAGCCTCTTTGTATGCTTCTATGTTCTCATCACTCCAATTTGTCCCCAACTTTTTGTAGCAATATCTTTTGTTCCTTATGGCTTGTTTCACCTCATCATTCCACCAAGATGTGTCCTTTTTAGGTGGCAGACATCCTTTAGATTCTCCAAGTACCTCTTCTGCCACTTTGTTAATGGTCAACTCTATTGATAACCACACAACATCCACATGTGTTTCATTATCAATACGCCATACATCTTCACCAGCCATTTTGTGTGTAAAGCTTTGTTGAAGATCTCCCTCAAGCCTCCACCACTTTATCTTTGGCTCCACTTATTGTTTAACTTGTCTTCTATGGTTTTTACCTCGAAAGTCAAGCACAAGCATCCTATGCTGAGTGACAACACTCTCACCTGGAATAACCATACAATCAGTGTAGCTAGTTCTCCAAGTGGTCTGTACTAAGAAGTAGTCAATTTGGATACTATTAGCTCCACTTTTATAGGTTACAACAAGGTGAGAGTCTCTTTTCTTAAACCAAGTGTTCATTATAGCCAACTCATACGTCAAGGCAAAATCCAAAATGTTCTTTCCCGCCTCATTCCTAGTGCCAAAACCATGTATGTCATGAACACTCTAAAAGCCATAACGACTCGAGCCCACATGCCCGTTGAGGTCACCTCCTATGATCAACTTCTCTCCCCTTGGCACTCGTCGCACCACGTCTTCAAGATCTTCCCAGAATTGTTGAGTTGTAGATGCATCCAATCCCACTTGTGGTGCATAGGCACTTACCACAGACACAATTTCACCCCTTATCACCAATTTAATGTTCATGATGCGATCATTCTTCCTGAAGACTTCTACCACATCCTCAACATAGTCACGTGCCACAATAATGTCTACCCCATTCCTGGTCTTATCTCTCCCCGAATACCACAACTTAAACCCTTCGGGATTAATCTCGCGTGCTTTCTCTCCAACTCATTTAGTTTCTTGCACACGCATAATGCTGATATTCCTTCTCCTCATAACCTCGACTACCTCGGAAGATTTGCCTGTAAGAGACCCAACATTCCATGTCCCAAAACGCAATCTAGCACTCCACCTTCTGTTCTTAGCCCCATCTCGTACCCCACCATGCCCTTGCATATTTGACATCATCCCCGGGCAATGGGATGACGCGCCGCTTCCGGGCGGCGACCTAGCAAACTTAACATTCTTATCACCACACCCAGGTCTATGAAGTGTAGCGCGCCCTTGCATATTTGACACCACCCCCAGGCGGAGGAATGACGCGTCACTTACGGGTGACGACCTAGCATTAGCGATATTCATATTTCGATTCATGTCATGTGATATGACTAGGTGATACTGTTGGCCGTCACACGCCTACCACAACACCCTCCTCCTTTATCATGATACCAAAAAAATGATATCATGGCGGAGTTAAAAAAGAGATGAATATACAAAAAAATGATAAAATAAAAAGGCTACAAATAATGCTTATATATATATATATAAAGATAAAAAACAAGGAAAAAACAAAGATGAGGGAAAAAGATGATACGAGATCACTCCTTCACGCGAATACCCGCCCTCCACTTAGTTCTCTCCAAAATCATGCCCTCATCCAACCCAGAAGAAGCATATCACTTCGAACTCCCCTAACCCACGTCTGTTTGGGTCTTCCTCTCCCTCTCTTCCCTACCTCTTCTCCACACATCTCAACTCGTCTGACAGGTGCATCACTCGGTCTTCTACGCACATGACCAAACCACCGTAGGCGCGACTCCCGCATCTTGTCTTCAATAAGTGCTACTCCCACCCTTTGTCTGATTGTCTCATTCCTCACGCGGTCCTTCCTAGTATGCCAACACATCCAACGCAGCATGCGCATCTCTGCCACACTTATCTTTTGAATGTGACATAAACATAAACTTAAGAACATAAATGCCCCAAAATTCTAGTAATATACTACCTCCGTTCTCTTTTAATTGCAATTGGACTTTTTGCACTATTCATATATTCTACTTTGACTATATTTTATTAATTAATGTATTATAAATTAAATTTTTAAAAATTATTGTTAAATTCTTCTCATCCTAAATTTTCAAAATATGGATTTTTTAAATTTTTTACTAATAGGGAATGAAAGATATTAATGGTCAAACCTGTGCGTTGGGAAACGTGAAATGTTGACGGTTGCAATTAAAAAGGAACGGAGGAAGTATTAGTTTTATAATTCTTAAATATGAATAAATAATAATAAATTACCTAATAATGAAGTAGCGAAAAATCTCAACAATCATAAACATTCTAACTTCCAAGAAAATCAATCACCTAATAATACTTGATTCAGATCTTTTGTCCTAAAGACCTAAACTCATCTTTATTGGGTTTTAGGTCGTCATCATCTTCTTCTTCTTCCTTCATTTCTCCATACCTAGACTGACTTTGTATTCTTAATTTCCCAACTTTCAAAATATCTACTAATTATTCATAAATTTCATAATAACCCAATTTAGTTTAAATTTTTCAGATTTATCCCCGAATGGCTGCAAAGTAACTTGGCGAGTCAACCTTGTCACCGAGTAGTGAAAATTGCTAGGTACTCGGCGAGTTTCATGAAAAATGGAACTGTGCGAATTGGAGTACTAATTGACAAGGCTAGTACTCGGTGATTAGATAACAATGGATGGTACCAACCAAATGCCCAATTGTATTACAGGTTGCAAAATATTTATTAATGCATTCCATAGCCAGAGGAATGCCTGAATGGTTGAGTAAGGTGAAACTTTGTAATTTTAGAAAAGGTACACCACCGATCATAAATCATCAACAGACACTTCTGAAATTTTAAGACTTACATGTCAACATTTGTTTGTGACTCTATTTTGGCAAATCAAACCAAGTTTAAGAGTTCTTTCCACTTAAAGTTCTTTGGCAATTGTGACAATGACTCCTATGATATCCGTCTTAGAATTTTTCACTTCCGATACTTTAACTATTGTCGCAATGATACTTACCTCCAATTATTGTGACAATGTTTTTTGTCTTTCAATTATTATGCCAAAACTCAAAGACAAGTACTAAAGGTGTCACTATACATGTGCCGCCATGGTAAGAGGACTAAAAGTGAAATAATTTAAAATTTGATACTAGAAATGTCCATGCATGGTAGTAAAAGAATTAAAGGTAGAAATGTCCCGCACGGGTAGCTTAGTTGGTTCAGTGGTGGGAAATTTGGACCAAGTGACCAAGGTTCAAAACCCGCAGCGGCCGTGTGGAGGTCACAGAACCTGAAATATGACTGGGCCTCTGGTGCGCACGGGAAAAAGGCCTACCATCATTGGACCGAATGAGTCACCGTGATTAACATCCTCCCAAAAATCTTGTCGGGTCGGGGTATGGGGAGCTCCTGGGGTGGGAGATTCCAGCTTTTGGACCAAGAATTAAAGGTAGAAAAAACCAATGCCTAAAAACATTTGATGAAACAAAACTATTACTACCGCTGTCCCAACTTAAGATTCTCATTGAAATATGGCATGGTTATTTAGACAATAATTGAATAAGGTCATTCGAGTATATTTTGAGATATAGTTTTGATGGATATATAATATAATGAGGCCATTGATGATAACTAATTGTGGAGTATATTTGAGATTGAGATTGGAATATCCAAAAGTGGCAAGTGAAAAGCTTAATTTGGACAGAGGGAGTATTATTTTTGAGCAAAAAATGATGAAAACAAAAATATTTTTGCTTCTTGAAGTATTTTATAAGTAATTCATGACTCTGAGTAACACTTTTGTTTCTACGACTTTTCGACTGATTACGCTGAAATTTATTAAATTCTAGCTGAAGTGGTTGAATTGGCTGATTATGTTGATTTATTAAAAATTATATTTAAAATATATTTTATTAATAAAATAAAGAAAAAATTATATGTATAAATAGTTAAAATGGTTCTCTATAGTAACTTCAGTCAATACAGTCAGAAAGGTAGCTTCAATCTTACTTTTTCTTATTATTACGCAATTCAGCGTGCAAAATAAAATGTTAGATGTTTGGTGAAAATGTTGGCCGAGAAGTCTCATAAGTTGAAAAACTGGGCTACCAAACGGGCACTAACCGTGGAAAAAACTGAAAGATAAGCTTCCTTTGCTAAATAAACTTCTAAGTTTAACAATAAAGTGTTACGATAAAGAATCTTTCTGTTTCTGGAACTTTTTATGAGTAATTTATATACTTCGTAGTCCGTATCATTTTTGTGTGGTTGGATACTAATTGGATCTAAAATAGGCTTTCAAGTTTTGTACTCCGTATTGCATAAAATCCAGTTTGAAATTGAGAGCCTCAAATATAAACCATTTGCTTCTCTTGCTGCTCCATAAAAAGGGAAGGATCTTTACTATTATCACTCTAAAATTGATAAATGTATCTGTGTGCAGTGTGCTCCACCTACATTAAACACTTGAATCTGAACATCGAAATGTTCACACAGTTAGCATGCTTAGCAAAACTTTAGCCGATTACAATCAGAAATTTTAAGAAAACGCTTTTCCGTACTAGTTCCCCGAATCGACACATAAGAGAATTGACTTGAAAAAGTGAATTGCGTCAAGATTGACCTTTTATGAAATTTTCTCTTACCTTTCGTGATCTGAATAGGGAATGGATCGAAGATGACATATCTCTTGGCGTCTCTTCTCCCTTCTCTCCCTCGCTCTGTCTTTCTTGCTCATTACTTCTGTGCAGATGGTCCAAGTTAATACCAAAAATGAGTTTTTGGCACTTTGTCCTAGGGCGTGCCAAAACTTTAAAACTTTAATTATATCCTACATCCACCCGGTTATTTTGTAATTATTAGAAACTTTAAACCTTTGCTCTCTCCCTCTTCCTTCTCGTTGGATCTTCGTTCCATCCTCCTTGCTCTTCCGCCATTTTTCTCTTTTATCTTTTCTTCTGGATCTTTCTTCCATTTTCTTTTCTTTTCTCTTCAGCCGCTTACTCGTTTTGCACCAGCCAGTTCTTTCGCCCACCTGTACTGGCCACCACCAGTGAGTTCCGGAAGCGGCCAGTCTTCCGGCCGTCAACCCGCCCCCCACTTCCGCTTTCAGCAGTAATCCCACATGAAAAGATCACCCAAACGAGCACCAGTCATCTTCTCTGAGAAGTTCGTTGCGTTTCCTCCATCTCTGGTGTTGCAGAGATTCTATAGGACAACGTTAATGCTCTGTATAGACTACATTCCGCTGAGATTGACCTGACAAATCAATCCAACCCTTGCCACATCGCTCTCACGTGCCAAATGAGCATAATGTTTAAATGAAATGAGTATAGACAGATAAGGATTTGAGCACATTAGCAATTTCAAATGACATTTTGGATTTTTCGATACTCCTTTTGTAAATGGTTCCTAATACTCAACTGAATAAGTGTGATGCTCATTGAAAGTGTTTTAATACTCATAATAAGTTTGATGCATATTAAAAGTTCATTGATGCTCATTTAACAGAAACTGTGATTTTTATCTCGACAGAGAAGATTTGATGCTCAATGAAAAATGTCGTTATGTCAAACTAACAAACTTTACGATTTTCATATCAATTAGCATTTTGTAAGTTACGTATGCTCATTTCGTATTGATGTTATGCTCATTTTAAAATGTCATATCAATGCATATTTCAAAAGTACCATATTACACTAAATTCACATATTGAAATTCATAAGAGTGTATTATAGATATAATTTAATAAGTTTTTATAAAAGAAAAAATAAGAAAAAGAACAAAAATTAGAAGATATGAAGTTGAGATCGTGTTACTCATTGTTAGTCTCTTAATACTCAATAAAATAGGTTGGATGTTCACTAAACGTACAATATTGCTCATTTAGCGGAAGCTTTGAATTTTCACTTACATTACAAATATGCCACCGAATTTTTTTGGGCCTGTATTAGTGGTTGGGCCGTCTTTCTTACTTGGGCCGGGTGTACGTACACCCGGATGCACTATATACGAACTGGTGCCAAAAACGGGTTTGGAAATCACAAAAGGGAGGAGCGGGTCCTAAAAAAGGAAGAGTATTAGAATTTGAAATAATTATCGTTTATTTTAATAATTAGGCAATCATTCCTTGATATTTTGAAACCAGCGCCCAAAGACAAGTTTCAAAGCTCGATAAGATCTTCCCAACGAGATATTAAACGCTTTCAACGGAATAAAATAGAGCAAGATATGATCGCATCAAATTTTACACAAGTTCGGAGTGAAATTAGAAACATATGTAAATTTCTGGTTAATCTGTAACCTTTAATTGATATCTAGATTTTAAGGGATAGTTTGCTATTGCTTTTACTTAAAAAGTGTTATTTTTAAGTGATTTATGAAGAAATGCTTTTGGTTAAAAGTTGAGAGCGAAAAAATTAAAGAGGCCGTTTGGCAACCCTCATTTTCGGCTTATCTGGCTTATCACCAACTTTTTTACCAAAAACGTAAATTTTGCTTTCGCGCGCTGAATTGTGTAATAAGCCGAAAAAGTAAGGTTGGAGTTAATTTTCTGGCTGTATTGGCTGAAGTTACTGTAGATGATCATTTTAGCTATTTTTACATATAATTTTTTCTTTATTTTATTAATAAAATATATTTTTAAAATATTTTTTTCTTGTATCAGCAGGATCAGCCAATGCAGCCACTTCAGCCAGAACTTCATAAATTTCAGCAGAATCAACCAAAATAGCCGATTTTCGTGCTACCAAACGAGCTCAAAGTTGGAATGTTTGCTGAAAAATGATTTTTTTATGTGAGACATAATGAAAAGAGTTTTGCTAGAGGTACCCCAAAATGTACCCCATTTTTACCCAACACCCTAATGTATGGCCATAAATGGGGTAATTCATTTAAATGGTGCCCCACTTATATGAATTGCCCCATTTATGGTCACACATTAGGGGGTGGGGTAAAAATGGGGTACATTTTGGGGTACCTTTAGCATTTGTGTAATGAAAATACACAAATGCCCATACATAAATTATATCCTAAAAGACGATTTCTTTGCAGTCGAAGAAATATTCTTTGGGTCGAAATTAGAAGACTCCCATTTTTAGGGCTGGGTCCGAAAAACCGAAAACCGAAAACCGAATCAAATTAAACCGAACCGTGACCAAATAAAACCGAACCGCTAAAAACCGAAACCGAATGTAAAAAACCAAACCGAACCGTAGTAGTTTGGTTCGGTTTTGGTTTTTACCCTTCAAAACCGAACCGAACCGAACAAACCGAACATAAATAAAATATGAAATTTTATTTGTTAAATGTAAGCATTAATCTTAATATCATCAATAATCTTTGAATTTCTTGTGCTAGAGAAATAATGTTTATGCTATGTTTAGTTTAGTTTATAAATGCATTTACACATTCATTGCCCATAATAATGTAGCTATATTGATCTATTATGTCTTTTATGTATGTATGTTGCAATTTGTTGCATGATTATATGTTTTTACTAGTTATTAGTAGTAATTAACTTTTATTTTTATGTAACTTAATTCTTTTTTGTAACATAACTTTTTTTATATTGATAAAAAAATAAATATTCATTTCGGCTAAATCACACAGGACGTATGTATTCATAAACGTTTTTCAAACTAGTCATAAACATTGTAAATTAAGAATAGATACACACTTTTATCTCTTTCGCATATGTTGGGTGTGTCTCGGAAAAACGAAGAAATATTAATTAATAAAAATAATTAATTAATTTAAATAGCTAAAGAAAACCAGAAATAAGATGGAACAGAGTTTAGCCAGAGCTCGTGCTACGCACGATGTCCTTAAAACGTATTCGTCGCCTCCCACGGTGGTAGGAGGGTTGCAACGACCGTTTCCCAGGATACGGTGGCTAACGAACTAACGTTTGAGCACAGAAACGAAAGTCACGGTGAACTGGAACAATAGCAAAACACTTGGGAATTTTCGTAGTAGCTGGAAGTGTTTTTGAGAGCTAAAATACGTGTATGATTGCTTGTGAACGTGTGTTTGTTGCAAACCACCTGCCAGCTATTTATAGGAGGATTTGTTGTGTGTTAAATGGGGTCTTAATGAACCTGAATGTTGGACATCAATGACCAATCCGTTGGGTATTGAATCGTCCATAAACTGTCCATTTATTGTTGTAACGGACCAGAAGACCTTCTGGTGCGAATGATAGATTTTGAATGATAGATTTTTCGGACGACATTCGTGTCCGCAGGTCGCCCGCGCACACGAGTCACGGTTTTTCTTCTCCGTTTCGGGATTTGATCGGCACCCCCCTGCGCGTAAGAGAGAGCCTTTACCTTTAGGAATCTTAACTCCTTAAAAGAGGCTTCCCTTTATAAGGGGGTGAAAATCCCTTGAGTTTTCCGGTGTGGGATAAAACACACTAGAAACCTATCATTTTCTCAGTTTTTCCATTTCAAGAGTGAACTTCGAGAATCAATTTCTCATTCACCCGTTATCCGTTTTGAGTGTACCATATATCGAATTGTAGCCCTTAACAAGGACAATCCGAAACCACTTTGATCCGATCCAAATCGGAAGTGGACCCCACTCAAATAATTGCCCCAAAATGACTATTTAATGCAATTTTTAACACATTTTTCCAACAGCATACTCATATAATTCAAGACATATTTGTTTATTATTATTTTCTTCATTTGTTCAAGTATGCTTGCATTTTTATGTAATATGTTTGATCCCTCCAACTTTTATACGAGTATCAATTTTAAATTAAATTAAAAGACAAATATTTAGTAAAAAACCGAAAAAATCGAAACCGAACCGAAACAAACCGAACCAAACAAACCGTGGTTTGAAGTTTTGGAGTGTAAAACCGAATCGAAACCGAACCGAACTTTTACTTTGGTTCCGTATTTGGTTTTAGGTCAAAACCGAACCGAAAGAACCGAACCCACCCCTAATTTTTTTTAGTTTATAGCTCCTGGAATTGAATATGCATAGAAGACAACCAGACATTACCCAATTTCTTTGCCGATAAAGGAGGATTCCGCCGGTATCTTATATATATATATATATATATATATATATATATATATATATATATATATATATATATATATATATCTACCATCTTATAAGCATGAATAATGTTAGGGGTATTGATGGAATAAAAAAATTTGTTGGTGGTATGCTAACCTTAATTGACATGTACAAGATGTTTAGATGCTTGTACCCTTTCAAACTTCACCTGGGTTGTCTCCTACGGTCGTTTGTCTCCGTTAATATTCTCGAAGACCCACCTCGCTTCCATTTGGCCGCACAGGACATTTCGTTCGATCTAATCACAGACCAAGCATCCCGTCGCACATCCCCTCTGGCTCGCAGCCTTTCCTCTTCTTCGGATGATTAAATGACAATGGTAATCGACTAACCCATTCTTCATTTGGTTTCTTTGTCAGATTATTAGCCATTGAGAACACAGACGTCTCGGTCCTGGAGTTACCAAATCAGAATCCGAGTGACAATGAAGACTCGAAGAACAAAGGAATCCCGAATCTGAAGTATCTCTACCTCTGCCCTTCCCAGATGGTCGATCCGCTCTTCGCCTGAATCATAGAATTGGTCCATTGGCTCTTGCTTCAATGGTTCAGCCGCCTCTGCTTGACTACTACCTGAAACCAGAATCCCCGCTCTTCTGCGCATCAGGTTTGTCCGTTAACTCTGTGTGAATATTGTTTGATTAAGATCGACAATCGAAAATATTGAATAGTGATTATTGTTTATCCCTTCATCATCACTTTGGTGGTTTCAGTATT